CCTGGTGCCCATGGAGGTCAGAAGCGGTGTTGGATCACCTGGAACTAGAGTTAGAGATGGCTGTGAGCTACCATGAAGGAGCTGGGAACCAAACCTGGCTCCTCTGTAGAAGCAACTGTGTTTTCAACCACTGACATCTCGCCAGCTGCCCCACTGATATCTCAACACAGCCCGGTACTTATCCCTTCTCATGTTACATGCCTTCTACTGTTCTCTTACCCCCAAGGCCTCTTCCTCCTACCCCTCTCATGGGTCCTTTCTAGCCTCCTAACTTCTACAGAGACTCCAAATGAGCACGCAAACCCAAAGTTTTGAAGCTGGGATCCACAGCTGAGAGAGAACATTTATAGTTTGTCTTTCTGGGCCTTGGTTTTGTCTCCGTATATTTTTCAGTTCCATCCGTTTTTCTGAAAAATTTCAGTCTTTTTCTGACCTTTTTAGTTGGTAGACATTTTATTACTACTTCTAATCTAATTACTTATTATGGATCTACTAAGTTGTTTATATCCTCTTGTTTTAATATTGGTAGGTCATGTATGTCTAGAAATGTATCTATTTCTTCTATATTTTCCAATTTATGTATGCCCTAATGATCTTCTTTGTTTCATTAGTATCTATTGTAATGTTTTACTTTTCACATCTGATTTTTATCAATTTGGGTCTTTCCCTTTTCCGTGTGTGTGTGTGTGTGTGTGTGTGTGTGTGTGTGTGTGTGTGTGTGTGTAGTGCTGGTGCCTACAGAGTCAGAATAGGGCATTGGATTCTTTAGAGATAAATACTTACAGACAATTGAGCCACCCAATATGGTTGCTGGGAACCACACTCAGGTCCTCTAAATAAGTAGTAAATATTCTTAATTACTGAGCTATCTCTCTAGCCCCTCCTACTTTCTTTTGGTCAGCGTATCTAAGAGTTTGTCAATTTTCTTTTGTATTTTATGTTACTTTTTATTAAGACCTTTTAAAAGATTTATTTATTACTTATAGCGTTCTGTCTGCATGTATGTTTGCAGACCAGAAGAGGCACCAGATCTCATTACAGATGATTGTGAGCCACCATGTGGTTTCTGGGAATTGAACTCAGGACCACAGCCAGTGCTCTTAACCACTCAGCCATTTCTCCAGCCCTATTAAGAACTCTTAAATTAAAATACCTCACTCCTCCCTTTCCTTTCCCCCCTCCTGCCATGTTCCCCCCACTCCCTCTCAAATTGATGGCCTCTTTTTCTTTGGTTAATATTGTTACATGTCTAGGTACATAAACATATAATATAACTATTGAGTCCATTTAGTGTGGCTTGGGTGTATATGACCTATTGCTATTGTATAATGAACTAGGGGTTCATCCCTGGGAGAAGCTAATCCTCCCTCTCAGTAGTCTTTAGTTACCCATTCTTTGTCTAGTATTGGGGCCCATGAGATTTCTTCCTTCTGAGTTAGCACATTTATTGATATTGACATTGTTTGGGTCTTGTTTAGTCAGCCTTATTGTTGAGGTATTGATGGGAGATGTCATTCTGTATATATGTTTCTCTTATTGGTTAATGAATAAAGCCCCATTGGCCAATAGGAAAGCAGGATAGGCAGGACTAGGAGACAAGGAGGATTCTTGGAGATGTAGTAGGGAGGAGTCAAGATATAGGACATGAGGGAAATAAAATGTCAAAACCTTCTCTCTGGTAAGATAAATGACCATGTAGAAATACTTTGATTGATAGAAATGGGTTAGTATTTAAGACAGAGCTAGCCAATAAGAAGCTGTAGCTATGGCCAACAGCTTTATAACTAATAGAGTCTCTGTGTGTTATTTTGGGGCTGATGTGGCTGTGGGTCCAGGCTGGTGGGGAAAGTGCTTGTAACAAGATATCTTAGATGTAGCTTCCCTACATGTCATTTATAGGAGACACAGTCTCACAGCACACACGTCAGACTTCCTGGTTCTTACAATCTCTCCAGCTCTCGTTGGAAATGTTCCCTAAGCCTTAGGTCTAGGAGTTGTGCTGTAGATGTATCTGTTAGGGTTGGGCTCTCTGCTGACCCCTGCACTACATCCAGCTGTGGTTTTCTGTAATGTTTTCCATTTGTTATTGCTGTGGCCTTTGGTTACTTCTCAGAAGTCAACACAATGAACTTTGGACACAAGAAAGACCTGGAAGATTGAGCTGAATCTAGCCTGAATCCTCCTTCCTGAATCCAGCTTTTATAATACTAGGAGTACTACATAAATTGCCAAGGGAGAAACACAACCAATGACCCTATCCCTCTGTAACACCTATGAACCACAACAATGACCAATGTGGCCATCTATCCTGAAAGGTGCAATATTGGCACTCCTATCTCATTAGTAACCATAGCAACCAATAGTTGTCTAATTGGACTGAAGGTCCACTCAGTAGGAGGAAAGTCATGTCTAGTATTGGAAACCTAACCAACTACCCAAGATTAGTGAGGATATGGATCTTAGGAGAGAACCTACTACTGCCACTTTACTAGACCAGTATCATTTCTAACTACATTCTAAATTTATCTTTATACCCACAGATATATGTAACTATCCCTCTTCATCAAAGAATCTTCTCTTTGCAGTGAATGAAAACCATTACAGAAATCCACAACTTGTCAATTTTCTTTCCTTCTCAAAGAATCATTAATTCTTTTCATTTATTTCTTCTCTGATATTGGTTTCTAGTTTTAATACACTGTGATCAGAGACAAGAAATGAAATTATCTTAATATTTTTGTACTTGCTAAGACTTGCTTTGTGTCCCAAAAACATGATCTGATTTTTGAGGGTATTTCATGGGCTGTTAAGAAGAATATGTATTCTGTAACCTTTGGGTAGAATATTTTATAGATGTGTGTTAAGTTCATTTGATCGATAATGCCATACAACTCTCTCTATCTCGGTCTGTCTGTCTCTCTCTCTTTGGTTTTTTTGAAACAGGGTCTCACTGTGTAGCCCTGGCTGGCCTGGAATTCACTTTGTAGACCAGGTTAACCTTGAATTCATAGGGATCCTCCTGCCTCTGCTGGAATTATAGGCATGTGGGGCTAGCCTAACTTAAGCAACCTGCTTTGCCTCCACTGTTTGTATCTTTTATTTCTTTCTGCCAATACCATACTGTTTTTTTTTTTATTACTGTGACTCTATAGAATAATTTGATGCTTTGTTTGTTTGTTGTATTTTTGAGACAGGATCTCACTGTATAGCCCTGACTATCCTATAACTCATGGTATAGACCAGGATGGCCTTGAACCCACAGAAAGCTGCCTACCTCTGCCTCCTGAGTGCTGACATCAAAGGCCTGTACCACCATGCCCAGAGCATAGTATAATTTGAGATCAGGGATTATGACACCTTCATTGTTACTCTTTCTATTCACATTGCTTTGGCTATTCAGAGTTTTTACTGTTTCCATATGAATTTTAGGTTAGTTTAATGTATTTCTGTGAAGAATGTCTGTGGAATTTTTATTATATTTATTTATTGGGAGGGGAAGAGAGTTGCATGCCATAGCACATGTGTGGTAGTCAGAGTACAATTTGAGGAGATCAGTTATCTTCTTCTACCATGTATTTCCTAGGGATTGAACTCAGGCCATCAGCATTGGCAGCAAGCACCTACATCACTGAGCCATCTTGCCAGTGCCATGTTACTGGAAATTTGATTTCAGCCACATACTCTTTTTCATATTAATACTTCGTTTGGTTCCATGAGGAAGGAACATCTTTCTGTGTTCTAGTATCTTCTTCAGTTTTTAAATTTCATGTTTTAAAGTCTTAATTATACAGGTCATTTACATCCTTGGTTAAATTAGATATAGCTGCTCTTTACAGGTTGAATTTTGCATCCTCTAACTCTGATTAAAATGTTTAACAGCCTTGTGATGGAGTGCTCACTGACTTACTTATTTCTGTGGGACTGAGGATAGACCCCAGGGCCTTGGGCTCTTAGGCAGGCTGGAAAAGCCTCTACCCTGAAGTGCATTCTCAAGCTACGTGATAGAACACCTGATACATTCATGTATATAACCATACCACATTCGATTAAGGACAATCTAAGTTCACCTTTTCTCCTGTTTGTATTCACCGTATTACTGTGGCTGACACTTAAAGCACTGTTTGAATAATAGTGAAGAAAGTAAAAGCAAAACCTTTAGTACCATGAGTTGTTTTGCCTGTTTCATCACAGGAACAGAGAGCAAACTCAGGCTGTCTCCATCTCTGCCCTGGTCGGTCTTTCTTTTGCACATAAATTTTGGGTTTAACTTCCTTCCTACCTTCCTTTCTTCTTTAATTATTATTTTTTTTCCTTTGGGGAATTTCCCCTTCTTTTCTAACTCCTTCCTTATGTATTTATTTTCTTTTTCTTTCATTTTTAACAGGGTCTTGCTATATAGTGTGTTCCACCATACACTTCTTCTATTTTACTTCAGATTTTTTTTAAAATTTCACATGATCTATGTGTTTGTTTGGAATTCTACAGTGTCTGCCACTAAGGAATTTACCTAAAATTTACAACAATGGCATTAAAACATCACATTTGTTTTGTTGGGTATTTTTTTTAATTAAAAAAAAATGCATGTGGATGTTTTACCTGTGTGTGTGTGCGTGTGTGCGTGCGCACACACACGCACGCACACACGCACACACACACACACACCACATGTCTGGTGCCCATGGAGATCAGAAAGAGACAGAGACATCAGGTGCCCTGGAACTGGAGTTACAAACCATTGTAAACCACTGTGTGGATACTGGAAACCACACTCAGGTCCTCTACAAGAGCAGTCGGCGGGTGCCCTTAACTTCTGAGTAATTTCTCCAGACCATCACACATTTCACTTCTAAATCACTTAACATTTTTCATTTTGATTTTCCTGTTAAATCCAAAATGATCTAGAGAAACGATTAGGAGATTACCTGCTGCCTCGGCTCCTTTAAGATGAGCTTCTGTGCTCATTTCTAACTCTTCCATCAAATTCAGAGAACCATTGCCTCCTGTCATTAGTTGAGGTTTTATTTATGGGCAAACTCTTTCTCTGTGTCTGCCAGTTGTTCTGTGAGCATCTGGGAGCCTTGACTGGTGGGTCCTTGGGCCCTTACTACAACCCTTAGTTGTTAGCATCAGTGCCTCCCTTCTGAGGTCCTCCTGGTTGTTGCCAAGTGTTTGGTGATTCTGGGTTGTGTGTGGTATGTACCTGTAACCTGTCTGTAAATGCAGCTTCACTCTTGTGATGAATAGAACAGACCAGTAAGATCATTCAATGCTTCTGAAGTACTCAGTGCTGGGGTAGCTCAGTTCCCAGTGGGTAGACAGATAACACCAATGACTTGAATGACAGAAAAAGTTGCCTAAGTGTATCTATAAATAACAAAATGGGGCTCCTAACCAGATCATCTGGCCAAAAGTCATCCAATTCTTATGTTGCCACCACCCACCCAAGACTTCATAATGCTAGCCAGCTCACGACCAACTCCCTACCACAGCAACTCATAGAACATACTTTAAAAAAATAACTTGACAATAATAGGCTATACACTGTACACAGCATCAGGGTTCTAATAACCACACCATTCCAAACATAACACTACATTCCTTAGATACCATCCTTTATCTATCTCTTGAAATGCTAGGAAAAAAAAAAAAGTATCCCAAGATGGAGATACCAAGACAGGGGGATTACCAACACCAGACATCCAAGGTTTATGGCACTGAAGATATAAGTTAGGGGGAGGGGACTCTTAGCTGCCTTTACTCAGATCTGTTTCACAGACCCAGCGGTAAACCCTCTGGCAGACATCATCATTCCAACGACCGTCATCGTAAGAGAAGTGGGCACAGTCCTCACCTCCTCCCAGCCCATGTCCATGCCAGTTATCCGGCTGCAGTGGCTTCCAGTTCCTGAAAACAAATGGCTCTGAGCTCCAGGAGGCCAGGCCCTCAGCCATGTTACCCAGAGCTTCCCACAAATCCCCGGTCCCAAGGAGAGGGAGCAAGCTGTAGGCAACACACATACTTGAATCCTTTGTCAAAGTCAGTCCCGTCCACCCATTTCCAGGGTCCATTTTGGTCTGTAAGGCCCATCCAGGTGGGCACAGGGCCCTTGTGATCATTGATAAATTTCTGGGGGAAAGAAAGAAAGCGGGCAATAACTTCTCCTTCTAACAGACAACCTCCAGGACAGCCCATCAAAGCCACACCTGCTCCGCCATGGAGTTGACCACCACCAGGTGAGCATTCTCCAGCTGGCAGTATTTGTCAGCATCAGGCCATGACTTCCCAGACTGAGAGAACCAGTAGCAGCTGCCTTCATGCTCTACCCAGTGAAGGGGGCAGCAGGCCATTTTGGAGCCTGTGAAAAGAAAGGGGAGGATGGAGAACAGAGGCGCTGCCTAACATGCCCTCTCCCCATAACTGGAGCCAACTCTGCCCATCGCCTTCCTCACCATTGTTCTTGAGGCTGGCCAGCTGGCACGACAGTGTCTTCAGGTCCTTCCCAAGCTCTTGGACACGCTCTGTTATTTCAGATAGGCCTGGGACACAGGTGGAAATGAGTGCAATGCTCTACTGTGACATCCAGTTGACCAGTCCCTGGCACTCAGATGGCCTGCACAGCTTCCCTCTGGAACCACACGCTCATCTCCCAGGGTACAGGAAACAGAGGTCTAACCTGTTTTGAATGCCTGTTCCTTTTTCTCCAGTGTGCTCTCCAGAGAGGAAACTGTCTGGCGCAAGTCCCGGCCTGGGAGACGACAGTTCAGCACCAGGAGCCCACTTTGGCCCACACCCTCTGCACACTCAGAGACCAGGGCCTCCTACCTGCCAGCAGTTCTTGCCTGTGGTCGTCCACCTCCACTTTCAGAGAGTTGATCTTCTCTTGCAAGCTGTCACCTGCACAACAAGGGACTGGAGCTCAGGACTCTGTCCTCCCTACCCAGTCACGGCTGCCCAGAACCTGCTCATAGCCCAACTCACCCCTGGAGGCCAGGGCCTGCACTTCGTTCTTTGTGTTGGAGGTGACGTTTTCTAAAGTGGCTCTCAGGGTGCCTAGGTCCCTCCTTAACTGGGAATCTGATGAGGGAGATAGAATGATCAGAACCAACATTGCTCTGTCCCTCTGTGCCAGCACTGAGCTGGGCACGTGGCACAAAGAGTAGCACTCTGGGCCACAGAGTCCCGGGGGGCAGGCCCCAGTATTGCACATGAGTCAGCCGAGGCTTGGGAGGTGAGGTAATGTGACCATGGCACCCAAGCTCAATAATAAGTGGCGCGGCCAGCAGCCTTGCCATCGTGAGTCCCCACGCAGGGCCCCCACCAGTGCTCTCACCATTACCCTCCCAGTCACTGTGCCTTATGCTCCTCTGGCTGTTAACCTCGTCATTGCCATGGCCCTCGCTGCTGTCTCTAAGTGCCCTTTGCACCCATCACTCACTGCCTCTGTCCACCCTGCCCACCACGCCCCCCTGGGATTCCTCTCTCCCCTGCCACTGTGAGGGCACCCACTTTGGGATCCAATCACGGAGACAACCACCAGCAGCAGGAGGCCGAGGCCCAGGGAGAACAGGAGGAGGTGGGTCCAAGAGAAGATACTCCACAGGAAGGCGTGGGGGGCAGCTGCTGAAAGAAGAGAGGGTTAAATGGTCTAGAGCAGATGTTCTCAATCGGTGGGTTCTGACCCCTTTGGGGGTCGAATGACCCTTCCTCAGCCTGCACAGCAGATATTTATATTACAACTCATAATAGTAGCAAAATTACAGTTATGAAGTAGCAACAAAATAATTTTATGGTTGGAGGTCACCACAGTGTGAGGGACTGTATTAAAGGGTCACAGTATTAGGAAGGTTTAGAACCACTGCTCTGGAGTGTGACAGATACAGGAGGTGTGGGCCCCAGGGGCCAATCTAGGGGTAATTGTTTGGCCCCAGTAATGCTATAAAAGGGAGAGGCTAAGATGGATTGGGGTGGGGGTGCTCCAACCTCTCTCTCACCTCTCATGGCCCAACACAAGTCCACATTCATAGAAGCCTCTCCCTCTGTCAGGGCTCAGGTGCCCAAGTGTGAGAATGCACAGACATTAAGCGCACACAGTCAGGGGCTATAGTGCTCTGTGAGGTCTTACATCAAATTTGGAAGAGTAATACAAAGACATAGAGGTAGCTGGGGACAGCCGGGCCATTATCAGGCCCTTAGCCTTTGCATGAGTGTGTGAGCAAAGGGTGAGCTTCTCCACCATGCACAGCTTCGATCCCCACCCACAAATCATGGAAAGTCAGGACACTCCAGGTCACTCTCCCTGTCCGAGGACCTTGTATGTGCAATGTACCGGGCTCTCACAGTGGGACTGAGCGCACTGGTGCATGGCGAGAAACGACAGCAGAAACCGATTGACATACTCAGAGCCCGCTCACGAGACTTCGTCCCTCCTTTCCTCTCACCTTTTCCAGCCTCCTGGTTTTTCTCCTCATTCCCCAAGTTCTGGAAGTTTTCATATGTCATTGTCTTGTTTGGAAAAATGCAGGCTTGCGGGGCTCACAGAACTGAAATGGAGAAACCAGAGTTCAGTTTGGGGTGCAACTAGGTCTAGGACGAAGCAAGAAGCTGAGGGTTTCAGCGGGGTACTCCAGATGAGAGTGAGCCTAGGCTGCCCTGGGGATGCAGGTAGACATGAGTGCAGCTTGGCTAGACATGACCTCAGAATTGCATCGGCTTTGAGGAGTGGTGGGGCTGGGGCTGCATTTGGAGGTGAAATTGGAGCTAAGGATGTACCGCTCTGTGCTGCTTTGACTTGTACAGCACTAGCCAGAGTGAAAAGGCATTTGGAAGACCACAACATACTGTCTGTTTGGTTTTGAGTTTTGTTTGTTGTTGTTGTTGTTGTTGCTTTATTTTTCTGAGATAAGGGTTCTCTGTGTAACCCTACCTGTCCTGGAACCCACTCTGTAAACCAGGCTGGCCTCGAACTCAGAGATCTACCTGTCTCTACCTCCTGAGTGCTAGGATTAAAGGTGTGTGCCACCACCGCCTAGCAACATACTGTTTCTTTAAGGCCATGGGATGCCTTGCCTGACCACAGTCTGAACACACAAATATCCTCAAACACTACTTTTAAATGTCATGTGTGGAAGGGCTTTCCTCTCGATTTACTTTGAGAAACCTGACATGCTCTGTCTACCTTTCTCTCCCTTTAACATATTTACTATTTATTTATTTGTATACTTACTTAATATCCTGGCCCCAGTTTCCCCTCTACTTACGCTCCTCCTCCCCTCTGTTCCCATCCCCCAATCTACTCCTCCTCCATTTCTGTTTAGGAAAGGGCAGATTTTTACAGGAGTATCAACAAAGCATGGCATATCAAGTTGCCGTAAGACTAAGCACCTCCCCATGTATTAAGGCTGGGCAAGGTGACACAGTATGAGGAATAGGGTCCCAAAAGCCAGTAAAAGAGTCAGAGGCAGCCCCTGTTCCCACTGTTAGGAGTCCCACAAGAGGACCAAGCTTCATAACTGTCACATATATGCAAAGTGCCTAGGACAGTCCCACACAGGCTCCCTGGTTGTTGATTCAGTCTCTGTGAGCGCCTATGAGCCCAGGTTATTGATTCTGTGGTTTTTCTTGTGGTGTCCTTGACCCCTTTGACTCCTATAATCCCCCTCTTCCTCAGGATTCCCTGAAATGCACCTACTGTTTGGCTGTAGGTCTGTATCTGTTTCCATCTGATGACAATTGGGCTAGTCGTCAATCTAGTGACAGGAGATGGCCAGTTCAGGCCATGTATCTGCTATTGCTAGGAGTCTTAGCTGGGGTCATCCTTGTAGATTCCTGGGAGAGCCCCTTGTGCCAGGCTTTTTACCTGACCCCAAAGTGCCCCCCTTTCCAGGAGTCTCATTCAGTATTCTCCCCCTCCGTTGTCCCTCCCTCCCTCTGCCAGAACCTGATCACTCATGTTCCCATCCCCCCCCACCCTCCATCCACTTACGAACTCTCTTCTATTTCCCCTTCCCACAGAGATTCGGGCATCCCCCCTTTAACTTTCCTTGTTACCCAGTCTCTCTGGGTCTGTGGATTATAGCACAGCTATCCTTAATTTTACAGTAAAAATCCACTTATGAGTACGTATCATGTTTATCTTTCTCAGTCTGGGTTACCTCACTCAGAACAATATTTTCTAGTTCCATTCATTTGCCTTCAGATTTCCTGGTGTCCTTGTTTCTAACAACTGAGTAGTACCTCATTGTGTAAATGTACCACATTTTTTAAATCCATTCCTCAGTTGAGGAACATCTAGGTTGTTTCTAGGTTCTGGCTATTACAAATAAAACTACTGTGATCATAGTTCAGCACGTGTCCTTGTGGTATGATTGAACATCCTTTGGGTCTATGCCCAAGACAAGTATAGCTGGGTCTTGAGGTAGATCGTCTCCTAGTTTTCTGAGAAACTGACACACTGCCTTCCAAAGTGGCTGTACAAGTTTGCAATCCTTGCTCCACATCCTCTCCAGCATGAGTTGTCACTTGTGTTTTTTGGTCTTAGCCACAAGGTAGTTTGATTTGCATTTCCCTGATGGCTAAGGATGTTGAACATATCCTTTATGTGTTTCTTGGCCACTTGAGATTCTTCTGCTGAGAATTACATCTGATCTGTGCCCCATTTTTAAGATTGGATTATTTGGTTTGCTAATGTCTACTTTCTTGAGTTCTTTAAATATTTTGGGGATCAGCCCTGTGTCAGATGTGGGGTTGGTGAAGATCTTTTCCTACACTGTAGGCTGCCGTTTTGTCCTATTGACAGCATCCTTTGCCTTACAGAAACCTTCTCTCTTGAAAGGCCTAATACTGCAGTTCCACTTTGAAAGGTTTAAGATACTACAGTCCAAAGAGAATGATTTTATCTAGCCCATCATTTCAAATCATAGGAAATTTGGAAAGGGTTTGCTGTTGCTTACCATGCATTTGTATTTAATGTGTGTGTGTGTGTGTGTACATGTGTGGCATGTACACACATGGAAGCCAGAGGATAATTAATAGGAGTTGGTTCTCTCCTTCCACATTGTGGTTTCCAGGAACTAAACTCAAGTCATCAGGCTTGGCAGATAGCTCCTTTACCCGTAAGCCAGCTCAGCAGCCCAACAATTTGTTTTTGCTTTTTCAATAATAGCTATTATTGTCTCAAGAATCAGTTTGACTGTTTGGAACACATTGTCTTCAGGACCTTAGCATTTTCATGGTCACTTATGAGCAATTCTAATGGGGTGGGTGTAGGAAGAATAAATAGCAAATTTTCATGATGGTTTATAATGCAAAGATATAAAATATAAATAACTTAGAACATAGCACTCAAATGAAAAATTTTAACAAAGTCATACTGTTCTTTGAAAATTTGTAAATAAAAAATAAAGGTTAAGATCTCAAAAAGAGGTGCTACTCGTGGGTCTAAAATGGAAACAAACTTGTCCTTGTATCTCACGTGGAGGCCCGGGCATTTGCACCCAGGCGGGAGCATAGAGGGATTGAGTCTAAGAAGTGAAACGAGCTGAGTGTGGACAATTTGGGGTAGGACAATTTGTATGAAGATTCAAATTGGATCTGGGGTGGAGACAGGTTAGAGTTGAGGTAGGAGCTGGGATAAGGACTCGGGTAAGGGCCTGCGAAGGCACCCATTGTGTAAACTGCCTGCCCTAAATTCAGCTCCCACATCCATGTGGAAAAGCTCGGCAAAGGGCTGGAGAGATGGCTCAGTGGTTAAGAGCATGTAACAGTCTTGACCTGAGTTCAACTCCCAGCTCACAAGTGCCCTTGCCTCCAGCTCCAGGGAAATTGAACTCCTCTGGCCTCTGAAGGGACCTGCATTCACATGCACATGTCCACATACAGTGACACACATATACATACAATTCAAATAATAAATAAAGTTTAGAAAAGAAAGAAAGGAAAATATCAAGCTAGCCATGGTGTTCTGTTGGTAATCCCGGTGCTGGATCCCTGAAGCTTACTGCCAGGTCAGCCTAGCCTAATTAGCAAGTCCTGGGTCAGTCAGAGACCTTGTCTCAGAAAACACACACACACACACACACACACGCACGCACGCACGCACGCACGCACGCACGCACGCACGCACCACCACCAACAACAACAACAAAAACCACCAATGTGGGCCTGGGGAGATGGCCCAGTGGATAATGTGCTCATTGTACAAGCATATGACCTGAGTTTGGATTCCCCAGCACCAGTGTGAAGGCTGGTTGTAGTGGCACACTCTTGTAACTCCAGTGCTTTTGGGAGAGGGGCAGACACAAATCATAAGAACTCACTGGCAGATGGACTAGCACAAATGACAAGCTTCTGGTTTAGTGAGAGGACATGCCTTAAAAAATATAGTTGAGACTGATAGAGGAAAATATTTGACATCAACCTCTGGCCTCTATACATGCCTGCACCTGCACACATGGTGCACACACATGCATACAATACACATATACATGAATACAATATACCACACACACACTCACAATAACAATGCAAATAGCTCCTGAGGAATTATAGCCATGGCTGTTCTTTGGCCTCCACATATATGTGCATGAATGTATACATGCACCTACACATACATGAACCTGTATATTTTAGGTTAGAACTAGAGTTTGGATCTAGAATATCTCCAAAAGTCTGTTAAGCAAAGAACTGAGGTTAGGGTTGAGGATAAGGTAGCAACTGGGCCAAAGATGGGGCTGAATTTGAGTCTTAGTTTAACTAGAATCCAGTGAAGTAGGGCAGTCATAGGTCTCACACAAAGCCTTCCTATGCCTGTACACTTCCTTCCACCCAAGGCCCAGAGTCCATCCCTCCTTGTGTCACCTAACACATTCCCTGTCCCACTGGACCCCTGAAGACCCCAGTCCGGTTACCTGTGTGAAGTCTGGAGACCGTGATTCTTGGCTTCCCTGTGTGGTGATGAGCAGGGTTGGGAGTCTGTCGAATGGAGAACTATATCCCAGAGGGCTGACGTGGGAGGGGCCAAGCAGAAGCCACGTACGTACATGTCAGAGCTCATCTGGTCCTTATGTCTGAAAGTCCAATGGTCTCTTTTGGGAACACCCAATTTTCTCAACTTCTAACAGTAAGCCCTGAGTGAACTGGAACTTGAGTGTTTGTGGAGAGTGTGGGAGAGAGTGTAAAGGACAAGCTTCATTCACACTTTCCAGGGTATGCCTTCCTCTGGTTCTCTTTCTTGGTGCTCTTGTGACTTCCTTGTTTTTCGATAAGTGGGAAGGGAATTGCAACAGAGGCACACTCTATTTTTCTTCTCCTAAGCCTCTCATTTCCATTTGCTTCATCCCCATGCCCAAGACACCATGAATTTTTGTGTCACTGAATACCCACTCTACGGGAGATCATTTACTGTTCATAATCCTCGTCTGTCTCCCTGACACCTGAGGACCACAGGACCAAGCTCTCCATCTCCATGTCCCTCACCCCACTCAGAAGGTTAGGGTACGGAGGTGGGTATCAGGACAGGAAATCGATTCCCAGTACCGCATCTGGAGGCAGTGTGGATGATGGAGGGAAACAGCCCTAAGTCAAACACCGTGACATCCAACACCCAGCCTGTCTCTCTTGCTTGCATACTCAGACTTCCATTTCCTCACAGGAGTACATAGGTCTTCAGAACACATAACCGTTTCAATCAGGAACATGAATGTTGGAAAGCAAAAACCCTTTTAGTTTCTTTGTTGTTTTCTGTTTGTTGCTGTTTTCCATTTCAACTTCATTGTTGTTTTGACACTTACTTGTTTTAATTGAACTGGTATGTGTCAGGACCATTAGTACACGCCCAGTCATAAAATATGCTGGGTTCACCTGCATCTCATTCCGTATGTTCGTTCCACCTTTTAGTTATTTTTTATTTCACTACTTGTGTTTATGCTTTTTCATCATGGTTTTGTTTTCTTATTCTATATTTTGACTGGTCTGTGTTTCTAGTTAGAGCTCTAACTTGGATCTAGACTCAGATCCCCTTGGATTTAGACTAGGTTTCCCAGACAGCTGCTATCAAGAGGTAAGGAAGCCCTTTAAGAGGCACCTGAGTGGGAGGCCTTCGTCACCGATATTCTCTGGAAGGAGGTTGTGAGATCCTGGCCCTTTCCTCTTTGTTTTTGCTTCCTAACCAGGAACGAGGTGCTTCTGCTGCCCCACACTCCTGATGTGATGTACAGACTTGCTGTGGGCACAATGCAATGGAATCAACCAGAGGTTGAAACCACAGAAAATGTGACTCCAAATAAGGCTGTCCTTTCTGTAAGTTGATTGTCTTGGGTAGTTTTTATAGGACAGGATACAGACTAACACAGGTTTTGCAAGCTAGTGCTGAAACTGAATGGGGTACAGGGGATAGGCCCTTAGTAGGAACCCACTCTTTGAAAAGTATGGGGAAGAAGACAAGAGGGAACCCCAACATGGTATCAACCAGCTGAATTCTACAAGTTTGAACTATGGAGGTTGCCCAATGTTGTGATGGCTCCATTCCAGGGAAATGATGGAGGTCACACCAAATCTGTAGATGACGTTCACAGTCATTTTTCACAGTATTAACTCTGTCCATTTGTGAACATACAAGTACTTTGAATCTTCTTGTGTCTTCTTCTCTCTTTTCCCTCAGGGTCTGTAGAGGGCACAAGGTCCTTGTGCTTGCAGATAAGCACCAGGGAAACCAAGAATGTTAGAAACCAGACTTGCCTCTTCAATGGGAGAGATGCATAACTTATTTTCCACCCAGAAAGCTGGGAGTAAATGTTATTAATAGCCTGGTGATCTATACTATCTATAGGGCCAGGCCTTACCCTAATCCCCCAGACTATTATGTTTGTCCCAGACTCTTTCTTCCTGGACCCTTATCTTGAGCATCATTTCTCAGTCCATAGAACCCATCCTTAGAGGAGATGTCACCTGTGCTTTGCAGCTTGGTGACCTCTGCAATGACCTAGACCACACCAGATCATTCCCTAGGTCCTTAAGCTATACAGCCAGTCTTTACAGAAGCGGTCACATGTATTTTGCAAGAGTTTCAAGTGTCACACCTTAAGCTTTATTGCGCACATGGGATTGAGATCACTGTTACTAAAAAACCTTTTCCCAACATGGTACTGTACTTAAATACATCTAAAATAAACTGTCAGGTGTCAGCCTCTAGAAGTTTGAACCAACACCAGCTAACTAAGTCATGTTGAACTTTCTTGCCTCATATGGCTTGTTTCTCTGCTGGCGGTGCTTGCAGGGACCCCCACAAGCTTCCACAGTAGAGGTCTTCCACCTCAATTCAGAAGTCCTCCTAGGGTCTTGTCTCAGCTATTGTGAGTGTGATTGTTCATAATCAGTGTACAGGAAACACCATTTTTCAGATGTCGGTTTGGGATCCACAACTCTGCTGAGCATCATCATTAGGTCTAAGGGTTTCATGATGGAATTTTTAGGGCCTTTTAAGTACAGAATCATATTGTTTGAAAACAGGGATAATTTGGTTTCTTCTTTTACAATTTCTACCACTTATATTTATTTCTATCACTGACTGTCCCAGCTGAAAGTTCAAGTACTATATAAATTAAGGGTGGAGAAAAGGGTACCCTTGCCTGGTCCCTGATTTTAGAGAAAATATTTAGTTCTTTTCCCCATTTAGTACAATGTTGACTATAGGTTTATGTTAAGTGTTCCCTCTATTCCTAGCCATGTTGTGGCCCTTATCATGGAAGGGTGTCATATCAGGTCCAAAGGAAACTCTGATTTCCCAAACCCCAAAGGCAGTCCAAATATACAAAAGGAAGCTCTTCCTGCACTATAGAGGGTTTCTGATGGTAGATACTTGTGAAACTGCTTCCCTCCTACCAAAAGGAATGATTTCCATTATCTCTGGCAGAAGGGGGCAAACGGCCACCTGTGGTGTCTGTTAGCACAGTACAGCTCATGCTGGCCTCCAGGCTCTGGGTACCTGTTACACCTCAGAGTCCATCCTGGCCCTCACCCTTCTCAGCTCCCCTACCCCAAACTCTCTCCAGCTCCTGGGCTTCCCTACCCACAGCTACTCATTCACCTTACAGCCCTGCTATTACAGCTGCTCTCTCTCTCTCTCTCTCTCTCTCTCTCTCTCTCTCTCTCTCTCTCACACACACACACACACACACACACACATTCTTTCTCTCTCTCGCTCTCTCTCACACACACACTCTTTCTCTCTCTCTGCTCTCGTTTCTTTCACATTTTGTTTTGTTTTGAGACTATGTAGACCAGGCTGGCCCCTCAAACTCACAGAGATTCACCTGCCTCTGCCTCCAAGCGCTGGGATTAAAGGCATGCGCCACCCACCAAGCCCAGCCTCTTGAGATCTAGAGTAGCTGATTAGATGAGCCTCTGAGAATGACTGTGGGGTGCCTTAATTGTTTTAAGTGAAGTGAGAAGAACCAGCCAGAGTGGGCGGTGCCATTCCCCAGGCCTTATGTAAGTAGGAAAGGGAGCAGCCGCAGACATTCCTTTCGATCTGACCAGCTGCTTCAATCTCCTGCTGCCTCGACTTCCCCACCTCACAGACTTCAGCTAAACAAACCCTTCCTGCCTTGAGTTGCTTTTGTCAGGGTATTTTACCACAGCAGCAGGAGAGGAAACTAAGGCAATCTCCTTATCTTCAAGTCCTGATACTACGTCTTCCTCTTGAAGCTTTCCACTGAGTAGAGCAATGAGTGTCTTAGTTAAGGCTTCCATTGCTGTGATGAAACACCATGACCAAAAGCAATGTGGGGAGAAAAGGGTTTATTTCATTCCCAGTTCCATATAATAGTTCGTCAAAAGCAGTTAGGACAGGAACTAAAACAGGGCAGGAACCTGGAGGCGGGAGCTGATGCAGGGGCCATGGAAGGATGCTGCTTATTGGCTTGCCCCCATGGCTTGTTCAGCCTGCTTTGGTATAGAACCCAGGACACCAGCCCAAGGATGACCACACCCACAATAGGCTTGCCCTCCTATATCAATGACTAAGAAAATGCTCTACAGGCTTGCCTACAGCCTGATCTTACAGATGCATTTTCTAAATTGGGGTTTCCTCCTCTCAGATGACTCTAACTTGTGTCAAGTTGACATAAAACTAGCCAGCACGAGGGCAAGCTGAGTTTTTTCATTTCCACAAACCCTTTTGTTTTGTTTTAGTGCTTCTGTCTTTTTATTTAATCCCTCTTTTGTACCCTGTTTTGTTGTCTTGATTTCACTCAGCTACTTATTTGTGTGTATCTTGAATTTGATTTATTCACATCCTTTTCAATTTAATTGAACATTCTTATAATCGCTTTTTTAACGATTGGCTTGGTATGTCGTCTACTTCAGCCACCACTGAACACCCAGACTGGAACTGTGAGCTTTGGGGGAGCCATGTTGTCTTGGTTTTTCTTTCCCATTTCTAGTGTTTCTGCCCTGGGACTTGTGTCAGTGGGACTAAATCTTTAACTGGGCTTTTAAGTCTCCAGTACCCTTTCAGATGAAGTTGTTTCCAGTGTTCCAGTGGTAGTAGGATATCTGTGGCCAGGTGCAGTCCCCCCCCCTCCCCGCACACACACTAACCTGGGGTCTAACTCAGTGGCTGAACTCTTGGCAATTTGCCTTTGGAGACAGCAGGCCCCACCCCACACACAACTGCAAGGGCGGAAGACAAACTGCACACACAACCATAACTGAAGAAACACCCAGTGTGGAAATAATAGCTAGCGGTGGATTGAAAGGCTCAGTGACATCAGGGGAATGAAGGAGAGGCTGAACCCCCATCCATGCTAGATGTGTATTACATTAAGGGTAGAGATAGAAAAAAAATGCGAGGAGGGGGACCTGTGATAGTGTTAGAGCAATGGGGGAAATGAATGAGCTCGAAGCAAATACCCAGTGAAACAATAATGAGGAAAGGAAGGGGCACAGTTGATCGAGCTCAGGTGAGAGTGAGGGGAAATACAGATAAT